CCCCGCGGCGGGAGAAGCGGAGCTGGGCTGGTGCCGCGTCCGGGAGGAGATCCGAGCTCTGCGCCCTGGCAGTGATTCTCAAAAGAGTGCCATAAAATCAGATAGGACCCGTTAAAGCTAGTCTCTCTCGCCACCGGTATCCTGCGTGCCTGACAACTGGGGTGTAAACCCTTAGAAAGAATATTTACATCAGCGAATGCAGGCAGAGGAAACTCATTTTCTTACGCGGGGAAGCAAGAGAGGGACAAAGGATGTTACCTCAGGTGTAGCTTTCATAACTGGTTTAGGTCGCATCAATTCAGACTCAGATCACTTTCCTTGCAGTTTATTTGCAACTGTCTGTATAGAAATTGTAGCAGACATCTCAACTTTCTCTCTCTCTTTTTGCTGTGCTGTATCTATAGGCTGAATATTTGGTAAAACTCTTTGTGTAGTAAGCAATTAAAAGAGGTAAATCTTGCCGTCTAGCACGGACAAAGCTGAGCTGAGGTTTTGGTCCGTGGCATAGAATAGGTGTTGTAACAGTAAGTCATGGGAGTGGTGCTGGAAGAAGACAGAACTTTAGTTCCATGTTCTTGTGGGTTTGATCTACCGTAGCATTATGCCCAGGAAGCAACTGGTAACAGGTTCACAGTGCTGCCTGCTGTTATCACTGTTAGAAACACTTTCCAGGAACCTGTGGTGTTCAGAATCAGAGGCCAATAACACCTGATCAGAAATGTCTTCCAGCAGGAAGAATCTTTCCTGTGCAGATGCCTCTATTTGTGTATATATGATGTCATTAGCCAGCTAAAATTAACACGGATAACTGTTATAAAATATTAAACTCTGCAGCAGCTGTCAAGCTTTCCTAGTAAGTCATGGGTTTGTATTATATTAGTCAAAACCTAATATAGCCATATTCAAACTTCATCTAAAACTTTCAAATAACGATTTTCTGTTCACAGTTTTTTGAGAAGTGCACTTAGTAGCAAAATAAGGTATTATTTACAGATCCTTAAACAATAAGCCATAACTGGCAGTCTGCTTTTGTAGTGTAAGCAAGAATTTTGAGCTCATTTTAAAATGCATCCCTCGCTATGCGTTCATTACCTGCTATTTTTCTGATCTTGTGGCTCTTCCTTATGTTTTACTTTTGTAGGCAGTCTCATGAGAATATTTGTGTGCAGTTCAGCACTTTAGTGTTTTCTCTCTGCCCTTTATGGTTTTGTCTTTGCCTTCTTCAACACTTCGTATGTCTGTGGAGTGTAAGATAAAGGGAATGGTCAAGCCCTACTTCTTTCTTAACAAGATTTTTTTTTCCCTCCTCTGTCTTTTTCCTTTTCTGTTCTTTTGCAGGATTGTTAGTAATGTGACATGATGCACCAAACTCAACTGTGAAAGCACAAGGCAACATTTCATATGGCATCCAGTTTGTGCTGAAACATTAAATTACTCTGAAGCTACTCCTGCTGGTACTGGATCTGCACATGGGCACTCTTCACACAGTGAGCAAACTGGTAACCAAGAAGCATGATGGGAGTACTTACTAACAGCAGAAAAGCAGGAATCTGTGGTAGAGCTGCCCTTTGTTGAAAATTGTGGAAAGTTCTCTAGGTAAGCAGTGGTGTAAAACTAGTGATGGTTTAGCTGTTCTTGAATGTTATTCAAGAATAAATGCACGTGACATTTTAAGAGGTATGAATCAGCCACTTCAGTAACTTTTCTTTTTCTTCTTCATCCTTGCAGCACTTTTATTCAGTGATTAAATTCAAGAGATGGGGCCAATGAAATACAAGTCAGGCGTGTCCTCAGTGTCCTGTGGTCTGCAGTATCACCATTCGCTGGTGAAGTGGAGCCCAAAAATGAATGTACACGTTGTGCGGACTTACTGCTCCTCAGCACCAAAGAGGCCTGAAGCCAAGTCTGCGGTGGAGGTGGCCTTGGGTCTCCTGAACAGGCTGACAGAGGCTGGCACTGCTGTGGGGAAAAACTCCCTCCAAAAGGTGTCGGCAACTTGCAAGAGCTGGTGGGACAGATATGAAGAGTTTGTGGGAATTAACGAAGTTCGAGAGGCTCAGGGAAAAGTGACGGAGGTAAACATGGAGAGGATGTGGGAATTTAAAGGTTAAGAGTTAAGCTTTAGGAAGTATAAACTAGCTACGAAGCTAAAAAGATCCTCCAAGGAGAAATTTTTCCACTGTTTTTTTTTTTTCCTGCTCTGTCCAGATACTAGGGATATTTTCTACTCTATGCGTGTTAGTAAATATATGTTATTCCTTAGACTGGTTTGCTTTGTTGGGGGGATTTCCTCCCAAAACAATTCTTAGAATTGCAATTCAGAATTGCCTAAAATAAATACTCTTTCTTCTCAGGCTGAAAATGTCTTTATGATTGCTCGAGGGATAGTACGAGAGGCTCGTGAAAATGTAGAAGCCCAACAGATGAAACTGAAGGAAATTCGGGACCGCTTAGACAGGGTCTCTCGGGAGGACACCCAGTATTTAGAGCTGGCTACTCAGGAACACAGGTTGCTGCAGGTAATTTGTTGGTGCTTGAGCACTGGCTCAAGTATGGTGAAAATTTGCATGCTTTGCTTGTGTCACTAGGACTGGTTTTATAGATGCCTTGCGGTTCTGAAGGACAGGGATCTGAGGTCCCTTCCAACCCCTAACATTCTGTGATTCTATTGATACTTGTTTTACTTTATTATTATTATTGATGGTTTGAGCTGCAGTGCAAATTTTATTTGTTAATGCTAAAATAGGGCAGTAAAGTGGGAGAAGAAAGCTGAAGATAGTGAGCCTATAAAATTAATTGTTGTAGTAGTGATCTGTACATGAGTAGTCAGCAAAAAGCTGGAGTTCAATGAATTAACCTTGCATGTGATGAGAGAAGCTCCTTTCTGGTTGCTAATCCATGAAAACTCTTTCAGCTGCCTTCTAAGTGGCTGTGACACCCAGGCAATTCAGTAAAACTTTTGTCAGAGAGCAGCAAAAGGGAGGGCAGGCAAGAGATGGGACTGACCACAGCACAGGTTGTGGCAACATCCTCACCAGAGGACATTGTCCTACAGCACCTCAGCTGGATGAGCCAAGCAGCACTGGTGACAGGATCAGAGATAAAGACGAGGTGGCAGTCAAAGTTAATCCAGGAAATCCAGATGAAGCTGCAGGAACAGCAGGGACAACCGTGGCAAAGCTAAGGCAAAGAGTGGGTACCCGTGCCTGAGCCTAAACTGAGCTCCTGGATCAGCAAGTAGGACATCAGGAAAGAGCTAGAGAGCTGTAGTTGTCTAAATAAGCGATGAGATCTGTGTGGATGAGACTTAAAGAAGAGCAGAGCTCTGTGTGACCACAAAGAAAGGTAGAATTTGGTCTGTAAGGTGGTGGTGCTGTCTTACAAAATAAATACACACTTGGAAGAATGAGAGTAATTCTGGGAGAAGCGGGGAGAAATGGAAGACGTTTGTCTGTGGGCAGAGTAAGGAAGAGAATACAGAGGAATGAGAAACATCTGTGTTCATGAGATGGACCTATTCCAGACATCCTTTCCAGTCAGTTCACTGTCAGTTCCCACTTACAGGATTAGAACAGAAAGGGAGAACTGTAGTAAATGTAAGGTTTGGAGAAGTAAACAGGACTGAGAAAGTGAACATTTTGGGAAGAGAAGGACCTTGGCCACTCCTGCCCCTTTTCTATCATCAGCATGTGACAGATAGTTGCATAGAGGATCTTCAGCTGTAATTCCTGATGAGCTTTTTCCATTTCTCAGTTTTGACTTGCGAGGATGTATCGTTGACTAAAGTAAGATTACTAAAGAAAATCCCGCATCAAAAGAAAAAATTCTGAAACAGAACTAATGGATGTTCTTAATTCCCATTCCTTCATCTGCACTGGAGTTCTTGCATTGTTTTTTTGTATGGAATATATAGCTTCGTGTTATGCCTTCTTCAAATCCCTGTATTTCTTGCAGGAAGAGAAGAGATACCGAGCTGCATATTTAAATGCAGAAGAGTCTGAGAGAGAAAAATTCTCTCTCTTCTCTGCAGCTGTAAGGGAAAGCCATGAGAAAGAGCGAACAAGAGCTGAAAAAACAAAGAACTGGTCTATTATTGGTTCTGTACTGGGAGCCATTATAGGTGTTCTCGGTTCCACCTATGTTAATCGAGTTAGGCTGCAAGAATTGAAAGTCTTGGTGCTTGAAGCACAGAAGGGCCCAATAAATTTGCAAGAAGCCATCAAAGAACAGGCCTCCAGCCATCACTTACAGCAGAAGGATCTCAGTGATGCTATAGCAGACCTGAAGAACTTGCTGCAAACAAGGACATCACAGGAAATAAAAGAAGGCTCTTTGTTAACTAGAGAAAACAAGGATGACTCCAAAAAAATAGATTCTCTTTTAATTCCTTTAAAAGAACAGCTAAACTACACTAAACAAGTGAGTTCATGCCTGGAGAGTTTACAGCAGCAGCTGAGCAGCCTGCAGGAAAGCGTAGCACGGATGGTTTCCGAGGTGCAGAGTGTCAAACTCCTGGTCCACTCGAGACCTCCAGAAAGAGTGACAGCAAGGTCATCGGCGGAGGGCAAGGGCCAGGGCCAGGCTTCTGCCGTGAGGGACGTCATCCTGGAGCTGTGTGAGACAGAGAGGAGGCTGGAAACACAGATCAAGAGAAATTCTATTTACAGCACTGCGGCGACATGTGCTATGTTCGCTGTTACTTTGCCAGTACTCTATATTATCCTTAAGGGGAACTGATCTCTAATTCATTGCCACAATTTACTAGATCAATAAAAGTAACTTGTACTCTAAGTGCTTTGAGTGCAAGTCCAAATAAAGCTGTGTTAGCACTTCTCATTATACTTTCTCTTATATATTCAGAAAACTTGTAAAGATTTAGTCCATCTACTGCTGTAGGCTCCATGTTAACAGGTTGCCTTTGTTACATGTTGTGGTTTTTAACTCAAGCAGAGGAAATTTTACAGTTTTATCTGTTGATCTCATTCGCTGCTTCACTCCTTTGTTGCCTGCTGATTTCATTCACTATTTCACTCTTCTGTTCTCTGCTTTTGGATATCATGCCAGTCAGTGACTTTCTTTCTGGATCTGTATTTGTGATTTTCTATTCAAACGATTCTTTTAGTCTATCTATCTATCAATCTGTCTATCTATCGATCATTGATCTAAGTGCTTCATGTGTAATCCGTTATAATTTTGCTTCTCATTTCTTCATGGTTTTGCAATTTGTCCATGTTCAGCTGGACTCATTTTACCAAATGGGTGGAAATATTTGCCCTGAAGTTTTTGTTTTGTTTTGTTTTTTTCTCCCCCCTTTTTTTTCTTTTTTTTTTTTCTTTTAAAAGAAGTATTTTTCTAGGTACAGTGATTTGCAATAGGGCAAATTTACCATGACTGTAGTTAAGGTAACTTCAGTGAAGTTCAGTAGGGACTGAAGTTACCATGATACAATGTGGCCTTACAGCCAGGTGATGCATTTAAAATACATTTAAGTTACATGTGGTAACTTTTCCTTAGGACAGCTTATCATGAAGAATGCAAAAGCTTTTCTGGAGCTTTAGCTGTTTGTTACTGATAGCTCCATGTCCTTAAAGGCTTACAAGCAGGGAAGGGGAAAAAAGGTTCTTATATAGAAATGTATTAAGTATGATGATGTTTATTCTGCAGGTACAAGCCAATTATCCTTTCTCTACAGACTTCCCTAATTATTTTTTGATTTTAGTAATCATCTGTGGAGCAGTCCCCTTTCTTATCCTTGCTAGTATCTCATTGGAACTTTCTCCATTTTTGAATTCTTTTTTTGAACTTTGTCCTCTCTGGCAATTGAAATGCTGCTCTACAGTAGCTGTTTTTAAGCTGGAACGTTAATGGTAGGAGTGTTATATAAACTACTCCAAAATAATATTGGGAAAAAAGTGAGAGGTCCAGCTGCCTCTTCTGCCTGGAAGGATGAAGAATGGTTGATGGAGGACAAACAGTTGTCTCAACAGCTAAACATCAGTATCTGTGTGTGCTCTCTCTGGTATTGCTGTGATAAGAAATAGTGGGTAAGCAAATCAGGTGTGGAATTCCTGCTCTCTGAGCACGTCTGTGGAGCCTTTGCAGAGAAAGGAGCTGCAGGCTCACCTCATGCTGTCGTGCCTTTGCGTGAGCATTTCAGGGTGACCTAAGCTGTGTTGAGTATACATTCTGCTATGGCAGGTTTTTTTCTATCAGCTCTTTCTAGTTCCTTCTGCCCACTAACCATATTTAGAAGAGTTTGAGGTTTTGATTATAAGCTCCTAGGACTGTAAGATCTTTGGGACAGGGACATTTGCTCTATGAGGCACCAACTTCATTTAGTATCATTAGGCACTATTATAACATGAGTGAATAAACAATATTATGCAAGACCTGTGATGATTCATGCCCTGTAAGGGAGATGCAATATGCAAAAGGTGGTTGTGGGAGGGACCACTGCTGATTTATGTATTGATTGTTTGGACTGTAAAGTGAATAACGAGCATTTATCAGGGGAACTGTTTGATCTGATCACTTGAGAATTGCGATAAAAATTCCCACACACTTAGCTGTGTCAGGAAGTACATACAGAGCCATACAATTTTTCAAATCTGTAATATGTATTTTTCTCATTTCACAAGTATTTTTACAGGTTGTACTTTTTGCAAGAGCTTGATGGAAGTCAGAGATGTGTGTAATTAAAGGGGAAGGGACAGCACAATGGTCGTATTTGTAGTTTGCCAGCAAAAGTCACTGAGAATTTTGTTCTGGTTTTGGTTTGGGTTTTTTTTCCCCTTCTGTTTAACTACATAAATTTAGGCCCCCTTAGTATGTAAGTGTCTGCAGTTTAGATACCCAGCATCTCTGAAAATGTGGACTGTACATACAAGCATGGTTTTTAAATGCTGCATTTTGGGCAGTTAAACTTGAAAGTTGAGGCAGTGCTCACTGAATTGTACTTGGTGGCATCAAAAATGAGTAGAGGTCTAAGAGTAAACTTGTATACAATAAATAAGAGAACACAAAACCAAGGGTTGTTTATTGTTATAAAGAGATCTGCTTTTTACCCATTTAAAGAAGGTATGAGAGTAGTAGTTTTAACATTACCTAGAGTTATGGGAGGAAAAAGTCATTAAGAACAGTAGCAAATAAGTGTGATAAATGATTGTTTGAGATATGCAGCCTGAAATCTGAGAAGAACTGGAAGGTATGATATGTGTCAGGGTGAAAATAACTGTCTCTGATCCTTTGTAGGGGGTTTGGAAGAGTCAGAATGGATTGTGTGCAGCGTTGTACAGCTGGCAGAACTCACTATTACAAGCAGTTCCTGTGGTTCTTTCTGCTCTTCCATGCTAAATCTTCCTATGTGAAGTGACAGCAGAATAATTTCAGTTAGGAAAAAAACTTGTCATTAACTGTCTGTGTAGTAATTAGGAGAGCACATCTGTACTTTCCCTCAATTCTGGATTATCATCACTCCATTGTGGCAAAGTTCTAAGCAGGTGTTCTGGTGCTGCACTGTATGTGTGCTCCAAAGCCTGAAGGTGTGGCTGCAACAGTAGCAGCTGTACCTGAGCTAGCTGAAGGCAATACCCAGGAAGAAACTATACACAGACTATGGATAATCTGTCCAGCACTTCATGCTAAGTCTTTGTCATGGTAACCCAGGCAGCAAATACACAAGTTTGAACAAAAGCAGCACGTCTGTACGGGGGAGTTTATCTCAGCACTCCCATTACTTCAGGTACATTTGCAGCACTGACAGCAATTTACACAACACACAGTGACATCTCTGTGCATATTTTCTGGTGAGTCAGACATGGCTAAAATGAATAGTTTGTTGCCTGTGCTCTTCTGGGCTATTTTAGTTGAAAGAAAGAAAAAAACAAAAGTGAATAAGTGTTCTGTTGCATACCCGTCAATTATTAACAATGAAACTCCACTATTATGAACCCTTTTGGAATGAGGTCTCATAGCTGAAGCTTTCCTCAGCAAGAAAGGTCTGCTTGCTAAGGCCTTTGAGACTTAAATTCTGTCTGTTTCTGTGAGCAAAGTCCTCTCTGGGCAGGATGGCTCTGCCAGCCCTGTGTCCCAGGTGCTCACCAGCCGGGAGGCGTGGTGGTTGCAGTAGTTGGTGCGAGTCAGGTGAGGCCAGGGACTGACATGTGCGTTGTGTGTAGGTCAGGGAGAGCAGCGAGGGTTCAAGTTAATTCTGCTGTCAGTCAAGACACAGGAGGTAAGTTGAAGAGGGAACCTAGTAAGAGCAACAAGAAGCCCTTTGATAAACATTAACTATAGGAAAATAGGTAACAGCAGCCTGAAATTGGCCCATGCTAAGCTATTTTGAGTTCTTACTGCTCTGTGAGAAACCACTAGTAACTCAAAAGCAAACAGCCTACTGGCTATGGAAATAACTTCTAATGAGGTCACTGCAGGCTTCTAACAGTAGGTGCATTCTGAAGAGAAAAGTTGCCATTCCTTCCACTCATGAAAGGAATAGTAAATGTTGCTTATGAATAGAGGACAAAAGCAAGTGTATATAATGTCATGATTGAGGTATATGTACTTACTTATTAAACCTTGAGTTTTGAATGTTCCAATGTTCAGATCATGTTCAGAATTTGCTAGTGCTCCTGTTGATTTCATTGTAACTATCTGTTTGGAAAAAAACAGTTTCTCTCACAGAATATGTTCTAAAAACAAATACTTCCTGGAGCTTAGGAGTGTGAGAGATGTCCCATTTACTTCAGAAACAGGATTGAGATTTGCGGTAGGAGTCAGGTTCCTGAGCTGGGAAAAGGGAGACAATGCTGGGTGTTCCATAATATATTTAGAACTCTATTTTATTGCCAGATTTTTTTCTAACAAGTTCTATTTGTGGGTTTCCTCATAAAACATAAGAGAAGTGCCATTTCTGGTGTTTGGCAATCAGTGGATAACCTAAGAAGGTGCGTGTTTAAATACAGCAAAAAGCGGCTGGGCTACAATTTTTATTTTTAAAGAGAATTAAGGTAATTGTGGTTGTGGCAAAGTTTTGGAGTTTCTGTCGTGGGAAATCTTAAGAACAGTTTAGAAAAACATCACCAAGTTTGATACAGATATAGACAGATCCTGGCCTGGGACAGGGTAGATTCAGTCAAAAGTTTCCAAACTTTACTTTTCGAAGAATTACTTTTTAAAAAGTAATTTTTTAAAAATAAAATGGGAGAATCTACAGATGATTTTATGTCCTAGTCATCCTGGTGCAAGTTGTAGCAGAATGAGAAAGTGTTGTGGTGAGAAAACAGCTCAGGCTACTATGGGCCACGTGGCATTAGGCACCAGGAGAGAGGGAAGTAAAAAAAAAAAAAATATGGCCCCGAAAGTATCACCTTAGTAATTATTTTTCAGAATCAAATTTGTAAGGTGACTGCTCGACCAATTTTGAAGTACTATGCAAGGAGGTTCTTTAAAGACTTTTTTTAATAGAACTTTGCATGCTTCTGTTGTAAGCCTTTACATGGCTGTAGTCTACACTGGCCTTTCTGTGAGTTTGCCTGAAGCAAGCTGGCCCATTAAAGATTATTCTATTTAAATACTGGAGTATCATATACTCTCAAGAACTTGTTCTAAAGAAACCCAGTGCATCATCTGGGTTGATTTAGTGAGCTGATCACCCAACCTGCTGTATTGGTTTGGTGCATGTAATCTACTTCATCAAATATTTCAGCTGGTTCTTGCTCTTCATGGAAGTGATTGTG